CCACTCACCGGAAAGATAGATGCAGATTTCGGATAGTGGAAACTGTAAAATAGATTTATTTGCTTTCTATATAATCACTATCCACCATATATGAACGGATAAAGACCGATAAAAAAAGATGCGAAAAGGAAAAAAATTCTTCTTTCATCGATTGTTATTACAGAAACCACTATAGTCAACATAAACATTGGAATCAGAACTTAAGAATTCAATAAACACAAATTATAGCCTGTTAATGGTTGATATTGTCCAATGAATATGAATACCAAAAGGGAAAGTATAATGACAAAAAAAAATAAGATTTGAATGCATGTAAAATTCGGAATCAAATAATGAAATCTATTATTCATCGATACGCATGTGCATCAAATATTATCATCACTCAAATTCTGTGGAATGGATTAACGAAAATTTTCTAACCAGTCAACATGCACACACACACACATACAAACTTATAAACGAGAAAAACGAACAAAATGGACCATAATTTCTAATAGATCGTTATTCGATATCTATTGGGCTATATAATAACGAAAATAGCCTCTTTATATCGATTAAGTACCCATGTATGTCCTGTGCGACTATTTATCTTTCTCCACTTTTAGATGGAAAAGAAATTGAACAAAAATATGCTTACCAAAAAAAAAATTTTTTGGAATATGGTCCATATGTTTGTAAGATATATTGGTCTTTGGTATCAGTGATTTTTTTTTTGGTCAATGGTATGAAACAATTAGAAAATTGAAACAAAAATCAGGCACATCTCAGGTGTTTAACACAGCAGCAGCTAGAATGGTATTTTTGGCATTTCATTTAAATCTCAATGTCAATGAATCTCATGAATGAGGTTCTGTCACAAATTGTCGAAAATAAAAATGTCGAATACAAAATGGTCGAAAATATTTGATCGAAAACAATAAAGTCGAAATGACAAAAATGTCGAACAGACAAAAATGTCGAAAATAAAAATGTCGAAAATTGAAATGTCGAAATGGCTTGAGCCCTTATCCCTTAAAATTATCACTAACGAAAAAGACTCAAATATTATTTTTTCATTTTAATTCTGGATACACAGTGGCGACTTTTCCTTATTTAATGCAGAGAACGTCAGTGTTAACTTTACTTTATTCAATGCAGATAACGTCAGTGTTGACTTTACTTATTGTCAAAGACAAGGAAATTTTCTGAGACAAAAGTGTAAAACATCGATGAACCGATTTATAGTATTTTAGACTTTGATCTCTATTCTAGATTGTTTGTCAATACAATAGTTTTATCCAAACCTCACCTTCGGTGAGGTTTGTATTAATCTAATGAACCGAGACCACCTAACCTAACCTAACCTAAACTAGAAAAAAATAAACATTTTTGGCCCTGTGAAGACCGTTCATAACATTGAATGCTCCTTTTATCACCCACTCTTCAATAATTACTTAAAGATAATTTTGATGCTGTAGTAACTCGATAAACAATCAAATAATAATCACAAACAAATTTGAATGAAAATATAAAGTGAATTGATAATAATATGAATCCAAATAGTTCGAATAAAAATAAAATTTTATCATCTTAATGTGTGATTATCCAGAATTGAAATGAAAAAATAATATTTGAGTCTTTTTTCGTTAGTGATAATTTTAAGGGATAAGGGCTCAAGCCATTTTCGACATTTCAATCTTCGACTTTTTTATTTTCGACATTTTTGTCTATTCGACGTTTTTGTCGTTTCGACTTTATTATTTTCGATCAAATATTTTCGACCATTTTGTATTCGACATTTTTATTTTCGACAATTTGTGACACAACCCATGAATGATGTGTGAAAATTTTTTTCCCTTAATTATTTATTTATTCATTCAGTTTATGGACATTTAATTTAGCGATAATCGTTTGGCAACCTGACTCTTTTGATCAAATGATTGAATTTTGAAGAATAAATTGCCACTTTCATCGGCTAAATTCAAGTTAGAAAAAAAAGGAAAAAAAATCATCCAACTATCCATCTTGAATAATCATATCATAATCATCATCTTCAGAATCAGCAGGCAAAAAAAAATCCACATGCTTTAGATTGGTGAAGACATTTAGATTAAAAAAAAAATTTTCTCTTTCAATTTTTCGGTTTCAACTTTCTCCGAATGAAATGTTGAAAAAAAAGAAAGTGGTTAATTCTCTAATCTCATGAAATTATCATTGCAATTTTCCATGATGATCATCATGTTTGTTTGTTGTTTGTTATTCAAAAAAGCTTGAAGCTATGGCTTGTCGTTATCGTCATTGCTGCCAATTTTCTTGTTATTATTGTTGTTGTTGTTGTTGTTTTACAGAAACAGAAAAAAAAATTCGTTTTTTTTTCATTTAGCCTCACGAGACGATAACCAATTCCAGAGATTTATGAGATTGATTTTAGGAAACAAAAAAAAAAAGAACTAAAACTGAACTAAAATAGTGAAAACAGGCGTGCATTTATATATATATGCAAAAACGCCATAAGGAGATAGAATTTTTTTTTCTTCATTTCAAAGACAAACACCATTATGGGTTAGGCTGGTCTTTGTTACTAATAAAAAAAAAATTGCAACAAAAAAAAGGAAAGCAAAAGCAAATAATACAAGGTCATGGCCATATACTAAACACCAGAAAGACAAAATATAGAAAAAAGCCTTGTCGTTTTATTAGATTTTTCTTTTTTAATATATGCACATTTTGAGTGAGAGAGAAAGAGATTAGCTTAAACTATACATATAGCTAGATAAACGAAGAAATCAAAAGATTTGCAAATCAATAATCAATAATAACAACACCAGCTATAAGCAAATTTGGTGGCCAAATATAATGCGACAACGACGAAGACGACGACGACGATTAAAGATTAGCGCTTAAACGATATGGTCTGTCATCATCATCATCATCATTTTCATATGGTAAAAATCTAAAATCTCGAAACGATGAATAAAATGACATGAAAAAAAACACAACAACGACAACGACCATTGTGGCGGTCGAGAAAATTATAAAACCAGCAATATTGTGTATGTGTATGTGAATGTGGCTAATGGTTTGACATTGAAAAACATTTGATTACAAAAAAAAAAACACACACACACACAAAATATCATATATTCAATTCAAATCGAATAATTTAATGATGATCGTTATCTATAATAAAAAAAAAATTAAATTAAATAAAAAGCTTATGAAACATATCGTCCATTGACAAAATTGTAGGGTGTTTGAATCCAATAAAAGAATGCCTTTTTTCAAATTGGTTAAACCATTTTGTTTTGTTTTTTTTTTTGTGTGTGAAATTTTCAAACAAATTTTTTTTTCATTTCTTGCCAATATAGTGTGATTAATAATAAGGTGACAAACAATCAGAGATAATCTCAATGGTTTTTTTTAAATAATTAATGATTCCCTTTTTTAATTATATTTTTTTTTTAAAAAACGTCATCAAACACGTATCATCATCATTTGTTTTGCTCCGTTTTTATTTTAATCTGTTATAACTTATATATGTTCATGTTCATTTTGCAGCGTTAACATTCAAGCAATGATAATGGTGATAATAATAATAATAATAATAAGTCGATTTAATTCATATCCAAAATGGCTTTATATGCGAAAAAAATGAATGTATGTGTGTGTGTGTGTGTTCACATTTAGCTATTGCTAAAGAAATCTTACATACACACACATGGACATAGTTTTTGAGATGAATTAGAGATTAAAATATCGTCATCATTTTTTGGATATGAGAACGAAGAAAAATAAATGGCAAAATCAAGAGATAGATAAAAACAACGAGCTAAAGAACGAATGAATGAATGAATAAATGAATGGATGGATGTGTATATATTCTCCAAATCAAAAAAAAAAAAAAAAAAAATATTGTCGTTTTTTTTCCTATTCATTTCAATAAATAGTGTTTTTTTTCCTTGTTAAGCTATCATTTTATCATCACCATCTCCATCATCATAATCATCAAATATAATCAACAACCAAATCAAGTATTTCAAGTGAAAGTCACAATATATTCAATAAACAACATGTGTACAAAAAAGCAGCTGGTGACCATGGTTATAACCATTCAACCATAATCCTCATCTCTTAATGTGTACATTACATAATCAGACATTCAAGACATCATAGGTTAATTGGACTTTGTCTTAAAACGAGATTCTTATTCTAATTTTTCTCTCCATGTATGTTTCGGTCTAAATATAAAAACGAATATGTCGACTATGTGCCCCAAACGTTCATACAAACACATAATTGGCAACAAGTGTATTTGGTTGGATAAAAAAAAAGGAATGAAAAAAAAATCGGGCTTAATGTACTTTTCACAAACACAAAATGAGATTATAAAATTACAATATTCATGATGTGTTGTTGTTGTTGTTGTTTTTGTGATATGTGAAACATTCAACCAAATAGACCTTGAGATAAGCAGCTGAAAAAAATTGCAAGAAATCAAAGGGTATAGGTGTATGAAGAAGAAATAATCCACTACAAAATCATAGTCCATATTTTATTTATAAATAACAATAATTATACAAAAAAAACTACCTATACAAAAATGATCTGGTTTTTTCAACTCAAATGCAAATCATATGCCAAATTTATTGGAAAAAATTTCTCTGATATTTATTTTTATCATGTGAATAATTCCAAAGACACCAAAAAAAAAAAAAAACATCGACATTTCAAGTCATAGCCATGATCACGTGTAGCCATATTCGTATATCCGAATGGCCGAATAATAAAGTCATTATCGACTCGGATTTCATTGTCATTTGTGTACTTAGAGCCAGGATATTATACACACACACACTCAACAGTAAACAAAAGAAGATGATGCAATATGAATCAGCCAATTCGTATATTGACTCATATCAATTGTATAAATTCATTAAATTTATTCAAAGATATATACATCCACAATGGTTAACAAATATTTTATCTACATTCGTATATTAATGTAAGAATCTAGCACCCACCGTTTAGTTGTTGATCACAACTACCCCCATTAGCAGCGCCGATTACATCCTTGATATCGAGTAAATGTGTTGCAGCAACAGCAGCCTGTCCAAATGCAGCCGTTAATGATTCATCGCATGTTACGGCCGATGTATCTGGATTTGTTGTCGAGGTCGTCATTGTCGTTGCTGTGGTTGTTGGCGATGTACCATGTTGATGTTGATGATGATGATGTTGTTGTTGTTGTTGTTGATGAAGGTGATGATGATGATGATGAAGTGATGATAGATTTAACCCTGGTGGTGATTGATTCACAGGTGATGAAGCCGTCACCGATGATGATTGTGGAGCAATATTGGCTGATGATGCAGGTGTTGATAGGGTTGTTGAACGGATTCCACGTGATTCCGTATCAGAAATAAGTGGTGATCCACTACTACCAGTACTATTATTCGTAGCTGCGGCGCCAAGTCCCATAAACAGATTGGCCTGCAAAACACGAAGACAAAAAAAAAATTTCAAATCACAATGTTCATTTGAAAGTGTAAATGGGTGGGTTTAAAAGACGACATCAATAAAAAAAACAACAATGGTAACAGAAAAAGGTTCAAATATTATTGTTATTGTTGTTGTTGCCGATGATGATGTTGACGAATTAGGTAAATATTTAGCAAGAATCAACCAACCAATCGATAAAGTACTGACTACTTGATATAAAAAAAATTCGGCAAGCAACAACAACAGAAAAGCAGCTAAAACTCGATAAAAAAGAGGCAAACACACCCAAAACAAACAGACTACGATCCAAGATTTGGAATCAAACACACACACACATCATCAAAAGTACGGCAATACGGGCGCCAAATTGTCTGTAGCAAAAAATTATATTTATCGGGTAATTGTTTTAACATTCCTCGAGAATTGTCTTGATGTATTCAAAAAAGAATCCATGATAATGTCTCATGAATAATCATCCTCATTCAATCAAGTCATATTATTGGCATGAATCACAGTAGTTCATAACAACAAACAAAAAAACATCTTTGAATCCTTTTTCTTTTCTAGAGGATTATAAGCCTGAATCTAATGTGAATGTACGAAAATTTCCATACAAACTAGCATGATGATAATAATGATCATATCTCAAATAGTCTAGTCTATATCGAAAATATCAATCTTTATTGCCAAGCAATGTTAGCATCCAAACAACTACTGTATACCACCGACCGATGAAACAAGTGGTGGTGGATAGTGGATAGTGAAAAGTGAAGAATAAGAAGAAAAAACCGACCGACCGATCGACTTACTAAGATTTGAATTGAATAAATTAACTCAAATTCATATATTTACTCACTATAGTGAGTATCCAATCTGGTAGCCAATTGACTTCCAGATGATGATTATCATCATTAGGATGAATGAATGGTGTACGAGAAAAAAAAACAAATCACAAAAAGGTCGAGGTCGGCCATTTGTTATTATTACATTACTTTTGTGTATGTGTTTTGAATAACCAAGAAAAAAAAATATCATGGACCATAATAATAAAAAAAAGGAATATGGAAATCTCATCGACCTTGATCTTGATGTTATGTTTAATTCACACACACACACACACACATGTTGCATACATACAAAAATCTGACAATCAACACAGTTAACGATGTTGACCATAAACCTAAAGATAAGAATTTTTTTTCTAACACAACGAACAAATCGAAACATGACATAACCATTTATATACAGAAATAATAACAAAAAAAAATGACAACAACAACAATAACTCTCTCCATTCATTTCTTACCTTTTCAGAAAAAAAAACGAATGAATATGACAGGTGAATTAAAAGCCCATTCATAAACTGAATGGACAAATCTAGTTTAGCTAATAATAATAATAATAATATAATTCTTAACGCCCAATAACAAAGTAACAAATAAAATTTTGACGAAAAAAAAATCCATAAGAAATCTTTATTCAGATAACTAACCAAAGTGAACATTGTAATGATAATAATAATAATAATAATAAATAATGTCGTGCTAAACTGACGATAATTTCATTCATCCATCCATCCATATAACCACAAAGCGCAAACGAGCGATGAACCAAAAATTTAGGCTCGTGAGTCCAGAAAAAAAACGGGAACAGTCAATCCGACAACCAAAAGAAAAAAAAATACACGATATACATCACGATTACATTTATAAAAGCAAATGTCATCGGTTGGCGTTTCATTTATTTATTCATAATAATAATAATAATAATGACAACAAAATCACATTCAAAATTATTCTCCTCCGACAAACTACTACCACCAAGATGAAGACGATATATAAAATTGTAAAATGGTAATTTAACAATGTGATCATTGGACCAGGAAAAAAAACGTCTCAGATTTATATCAAATTAAATCACATTGAAAAAAAACGGGTAAAAAATAATTTTAATTTTACAGGTATTCTAGTGGTAGTGGTAGTGGTGGTCAGTCACACATTAATTGATTCAAGGAAAATAAAATTTTGATGACAACTATGGCCACCGCTATTTATATTTTTTTCCTTGTTGTTACTATTATCATCATCATCATCATCAACACAATTGTTGTTGGTGTATTATCAATCAATTCAAATGAATGACATTTAATCTATTTGATCCAATCAATAGAAACAAAACCAAAAAAAAAAGAAATCGAAACATATGAATCAATATGACAATGTTGTTTAGCCACTTTCATGATCTACTGTCATCATTGATAATCCAATAATAATATCATGGCCATAATAGCATGAACCATAAAATGATTTCATCACAAACACAAACGTCAAAGGTGGTGTTCTATTCAAAAAAAAAAAAATCTTTATTTTTTCATCAGAAAATGAGAAACCTCCGCTTGTCATATATATATGTACAAAACATTCATCGAAAATGTAATTATTTGTTTTACATTTTTCTTGATCTCTCTTTCCCTCTTTTGTTATATCAAACACGTTTCGTTGGAATGAATTTTAAATTATCTTATTATATTACTTTTGTGTATGAAGATGATTTTAGGATTTTCTTACTTGAAAAAAAGGTGATAACTAGGACACCAACAAAGTAATAATAATAACAATAGAAAAAACAACTTCAAACCTGGACAAGCTACAAAAACAATTCATGCAAAAATGATTTGGATTCGAAATGTGTGTTGAAAAAAATATCGAAAGCAAAAGTCAAGATAGTAAATCCAGTGATTTAAAGAAAAAAGAAATTCTTTTTTTTATATTCGAATCGAATCGACTAAGTACAGACCGTTTTTATATGTCGGATTTCAATGTTTGTCTGAATTTTTTTTCCTTTCTTTCTTCAAAAATCTCCTAGACAAACATTTTTCACTTTTTTTGACTTGTTTTCGCGGCTTGACCAAAACGACTGTTCAGATATTCAGAATTTACGGCTTCTTTTATTCCCATGCTTTTTTCTCTCTCTCTATCTTACAACAACAATATATCTTTACAATATGTGAGGATGAAGACCATAGAATCCTTCAAAGTTCAAATATACAAGATACGATATAACCCTGCCAAAGATGATGTGATGTTAAGCAGAGGGAAAAAATGAAAACGAACAAAAAAAAAAAATTTTAGCCAGATCAGGGCGGCTGCTGTATATATGCTAAATAAATGCCAGGAAAAACATAAATCTCATCATCAATACTCTTCATCATTTCAGGCCACTTAACTTGAATCGAACCAAAAAAAAAATTACCCATATAGCCACCTTGTGTCAATGGACCATCCATCCATATGATGATCCATTGTTTTGATAAAGAAAAACTTGGCTTGAATATGTTTGAGACATGCTTTTCACATTGAACATCCTAATGATGATGATCAGTGATCAAACAAAAGAAAAATCTTGGAATTTGGTAGTATAGCAAAAAAAAAAAAAAAAAAAAGAAAAGTTTTCACACCTCGGTTCATCGTCAATCGAGGAAAAAAAACGGGCCACCATCGAACAAAAACGAATACGAATAACTAACTATTAACAGCAACATCAAGATTATTGTCAGGAGAAAAAAAAAAAAAAACAAAAAAAAAATTCACAAATCCTCATTCACACTAAACAATCGTTATTCATTAATCCCTCGCCAATAAAATGAAAAAATCTTATTTATCCATTCATTCAATGTTTGATTCGATTATCATTTAATACTATATACTACATTTCATTAGATGGGTGAATCCTACAAAAGAGCCATACGAACAAACAAACAAACAAACAAAAACAATCATAAAATATCGATCGACATTCCAAGGCCGCATAGGTACACACAAATACATTCACAAATGTTACATGGTCATTAAATCCGAATGGCAATCCTGTTTAAGATTTTTGTTTCTTTTCATTATTTATTACTAAGTGAAAAAAACGGATTAAACTTGTCGAATGATTGTAATTGTTGGTAATACGAGTTGCAATGTTCAGTGTAGTGATTAATGAATATCATCATCAACATTAACATCGCCGGTGGTTGAAAAAATTTCATTGCTACATAATTTGTGGCAATGTGATTTTGGTGTTGATGGTGGTGACCAAAAGCCAAAAAATCTTTGATTTTGAAGAAAGAGGGAAAAGAAGAAAATGTAACTTGACTAGCTATGATAGCGATGATATGGTATCAAGTCAATCAACTAAATCGTTTTGGACACATTAAATTGGGCATCCGGACCACACAACTATAGAGTAGTATAATATATAAAAAAGGGCGCCAAAAGGAGTGGGCTTTCTCAATTTAATTCTCGTTGATTTTTTTTCTATTGTCGCTGACCAAATTGTTAATGTGTGTGTGTGTGTATGACATAAAGACATTAAACAATCATGATGATGATGATTGAAAAGAAACTGACACAAAAAAATAACCACCTCCCATCAATAGCAAATCACAAGCTTAATAAGCATATTGTTTGTATTTGGCTTAAGATTTGAGAATTTATGATGATGATGATGATCGGAAAAAAGGTAATCATCAAAATTCTAGAATAAAATAGGGAATAAACGGATGAAGAAAAAAATGTATTTGCTTAAGCTTGTCCATTTATTATCTGCAACATAATAATTTTCGTTGGAAAAAAAAAAAATTTGTCGACAAAAAGCCCAGTGTGTGTGTATGTTGTACATTGTTATTGTAGAATGAATCATTTCATTTCAATTAGACACACCAAAGATTTGTCTTGTATGCATTTCTATCTATTCTGAATAGGGAAAAAAAATCAGCTCAGCTTTACATACACACAATCAAATTCACAATCCTTGTGAACTAAAGTAAGGCGATTCATTCTAGATCGCTTTGGGACCGAAAAAAGCCAGTGGTTTCAATTCAATCCAACCATCATGATCATCATCATCATCACAATCATCAGTGCAGAGTAAATTCGTATATTCACATATATATAAATAATAAAATCGACGGTCGGGCGTACACCATGTCACGCAAATTTGCATTC